AAAAAAAAAAAAAAAAATTTAAGATGATTAAATATGAGAATGCCATTTCACAAAACAAGTATTCTCAAACATCAAGCTAGTTATCCCCAAGAGAATTTTCTAAGCTAGCCCTTAAAAAGGTGGAGATAGGAGGGGGAGGAATGAAAAACAAAATCAACCAACCAAAGTACACGACAGCAGTAAAGAAACCTTCACTTACCAAAGTGAAACTTCTGGACCGAGAACTGCTACTTCGACTCTCCAAACTCCCACCTCTGCTCAAGTCACTTAGCCTGCGGTTGGGTGACAGGTCAGAGTCCATCTCCGAAGAGTCTGATCTCAGGCGGTTTATAGGCATCCCCACAGAAACCTCAGTTCCTGGCCTGGTCACAGGAAGTGGGAAAGGGACCAGTATCCCATTCTGGGGCAGTGGATGACTTCTAGAGAAATCAAAGTGACAATGGTTACTAAGTCTAGGAAAATGCCTCATTCCTCAAAAATGAAAGACATGGCATCTAGATTCCCAGATCATCTAGATTCACAGCCTTGACCAATAGGGCAAAAGTAATTAGGAAACCCAAAGTCAATGTGTCTGGTGGTGCTAGTCTCCATTTTTCCTGATTTTATTATGAAGAAGTATGAATTATTTTAAGATAAGATAAATGTACTAATAATTACTTTGGTGCTAGAAATTCAGCAGAATAATGTTTTGGCACCTCCTTTTGCATATAAGTCTATTCAAAAGATTCCTATTAGGTATTTGATTTATTAGACTGAAAACTGTGGAGTTTCACCACTTCTGAATTACAGATTAGTAGTTATTTAGCCAGTTTATATAAAATCTGGATGTTGTTTATGTTTTCATATTATTAAACACATTTTGAAACTTGTAACATTTTCTGAAGTCTTTTCTTACTATTTGAGATAATGACAACTTATGAAGAGTATATACACTCAGAATCTTCTAGTCCCCTAGCCTTCCTTTTTTTTTTTTTTTTTTCACTTTTATTATGGTGAAAGCATACACAACAAGACATTCGCCAAAATAACAACTTCCTTATTTACAGCTCAGGGACATTGATTCCATTTTTCATATTGTGCCACCATTATTGCTATCCTTTTCCAAAATATTCTACCACCTATTAGCATAAACTCAATGCCCCCAAACAACCCCTCCCTCCTACCCCTAGTAACCACTAATAATCTTTGGTTTCCATATATATATGCACTGCTGTTGAGTTGGATCTGACTCATAGTGACCCCTCCTTGGGTTTCCAAGTTGGTATCACTACGGAAGTAGATTGCCCAACCTTCCTTTTGAGGAGTGGCTGGTGGGTTTGAACCGCCAGCCTTCTGGTCAGCAGTCAAATGCCTTAGGCACTATGTCACCAGAGCTCCTATATTCCT